GCTTTATTTCCTGTCCTAATTTTGAGTCAGCACCTTGATTTGGGAGGTGTGTCTGGCAACTGTAGCGTGGCTTAAGCTGGYACCCAGAGACCATGAGTGAGAAGTCATCTTTATCATCAGCAGGCGAGTTTCCATCTCTCATCCAGGCAGCACGGGGGCAGGATATGGGCTGACATTCCAGCCCAGCTGATCCTGTGGGCTCTGAAGGAAGTAGGACAGGCAGCAGACAAACCCTCAGGCCTGTTTATGAAGTATTCCTATGCAGTAGCTCCCAAAGTGAAGTGTAGGGAGACTCACAGTTACCAGGGGAGAGGGGAGCAGGAAGCAGGGCTTGGAGGGAGGCTGTTAACTAATGCCACGACCTATGCAAAAAGAGCCTCACAATTTCTTCTTCACCTCCCTACCTTGTTAATGACTACTGGAAAAGCTTTTTCCAATGCAAAGCATCTGGGATGACTTTGTAGCACAGAGAACAGTGATTAAACAGATGGTATCACCCACGAGCGTGGCTGAGCGTGGCTTGTACATGTTTTGGGGAGAAACACAATCTGCCACACAAGACAGTGTTTTGCATTGGGCTGCTGTGCCCACACACCTTGTGCATGACCTGGCGTGGTGTGTCTGCCTGGCCTCCCAGAGTGACTGCAGCACAGGAGCCTGCCTGATGGGACTGGGGCCACCGAGCACTGGGGTGTTGGACAGGAAAGAGCCACTGCAGGTGTCTGGGGGGTTTTTCTGTGCTGCTCTGCCAGGTGGGGTTCACCGTGCTTGGACTGGATCCTCCTGGTAGTTCCTGKTCTTTTTTGCTGTGTCTCTCTGTGGGCTCTGTGTGAATAGCTGTTTCCCCCAATACATGTGCCCTTCTAAGCTGTGTGTTTCCTCAGGAACTCCAACCCTCTGCTTTCTTTCCTTAAGAAGCTGAGATTGGTGGTACTTCACACCTTTAATCATCCTTTTCTCAGCACCCCTGTCAGATCTATGAAATGTACTGTATCTTCTCAGAAAATCAGCCCAGCTGAGTGGGAAGTTCACCTCTGGCACAGCCAAAGACCTGACAGTTGCAGGATATCCYGTATCTGTTCGCACATTTCTGTGCAAATGCTGTGATTCATTCGTGGCCATTGAGAGTCCTGTTAGTGTAACAGCACCGCTCTGGTATCCTGGCCCAGCTGCAGTAGGATGATGATGCCTTTCCAGAACCTCCTACTGTCTCCTTCACGATAATGCTTTCTAAACTATTCCTGGCTTTTCATCCAAAGTGGTGTGCTCTTGGCTATTGGGGTGAGGGGAAGTTTGGCAGGAGGTTCCAAAAAGGTMCAGGCAGGTCTTGTAGTGTCTGAGGTGTTACTTCTCCCTGTGGAGCCTTTCTTGAAGAGATTGAGCAACCAAGACCTCACCACACTGCAACAGGAGCACTATGTGACCTTTCAAAGCTGTAGGAAACCAGCAACAAGGCAATGACCATTGCTTCATGCTTCCGTCAGCCCACATTGCTCCTCTGGTGCTCATGGAATTTAGAACTTCYAGTGCATAAACCAGCATTAGTCTGCCCTCTCTAAGCAATATMAGGCTGATCAACTATTGAGCCTTAAAGGTTTTTCCAACAGAATCAGAAAATACTAGGAGTAGAGGAGTTAGTCTGGAGATTTCATCCCACTCTGCACAGGCTCCCAGAATAGTTTCTATCCTCCTTTGGCTAGGCAGGAGCCAAATTCTCCATTAGTGACAAGCCTTCAACACAGAACTGTTTGTTCTCCACCTCCCAGCTGATGAGGKGTGAGCTGCAGTGTAAAAAGGGGGCACTGAGCCAGGCTTGGAAAGCCAACCTCCCTGTGCATATTGTCTTCCTGATGCAATCCCACACCTMCTTCCTAGTGCTGGTGTAACCAAAGCTCACTGCTGAGTCTGAGCCATATCACTTAGAAAGTCCCAGCTGTCAGGGTTTAGCCCCCAGAARAGAAAGCCCAGGTGAGAGTCTCAGTGAAATCTGGCCWGTCTCAGARGTGTCTCCTGCAGTYCTRTAGGATTTTTGGTGAGTCACTGGAAAAYGGGATGTAAAGAGAATTKGTTCTGTGAAATGCTGTGCAKTCATCTSTTCCTAGCCTCCCACTGTGGGTTTGTTTTTTTCTGTACTGCCAGGACAATGTGTAGAGGCCTTGCAACTGGTTCTCACCCATCCACTATTTCAGGATCTAGGTGTATCTACTTAGYAGCAAAAATTTATATAGGTTAATTCCCACACTCCCAGTGAATGAATCATTAAAGGAACAAAGAAAGGTGCCTCCTTTAAAGTATCACAGCCACCTGCATTATGAACGTACGCCCAGGTTTACCTGTATGTATTTAACCCCTTATCAGAGCAAGTGACAGTCAGCTCTGGCACTGGATGCACCTCTGACATGGATGGCAGGAGGAAACACATTCTTGTACTTGAAAGTGAAGTGCAAAACTCAAAATAAATCTGAAAAAAAAATCCAAACCCCCGTGTAAGATTCATTTCAGTTCAAAGCTACACCTGGCCAGAGGTATGTCCCACCCCCCACACCCTTTCCAGACATATTGAGGAGTGATACCCTGCAGAAATGCTTAGCATCTGGTGAAAATGAGCTGGGAAAGTGTCCCTCCCACTAAGAAAGCCTCTTGCTGTCAATGATATGAACACTGTAGGAGAGGAGCTGACGGTCCAAGCCAAAGGATGCAGGCAGTAGTTTCCCAGTAGAGCAAATTGTTTCCTCCCGAATGCAAGTAAGAACAGCATCCCTTTCAGCTGAGAGCTGCATTTTGGCTCGAGTTGCAAGGGGGAGGAAGGGGACGGCTCTATCTCCTGGATGTTTTTCCCACTTGGTTGGGTTGTCAGTATACAGTCTGAAAGAGGTGTGCCCCAAGGATGTGAGAGGAGATAAGCCACTGARCTGTATTAGCACATGAAAGAAAAGACGGTGGGAGCTTCCAAAGGATGGCAAAGGTTCAAAATTTGCTCACAGAAGCACATAGTTGTGGATGATTACTGCGGCACACTCCTCCAGCCGGAGGTGTGGCAACGCAGCATGAAATGAGAGCAGGGCACCAAGTGAGTAATGCCAGTGCCATTCTTAGTAAGGAATCCTATTTTTAGTACGGATTGGCTTGGAATATAAGTGGCTTTAAAATCAAAGAGTCAGTGAAAGGAGAACTCCAGTAAAGTCACTGACTGCCAAGATCAAAGTCCAACTTGGCTCTAAAGATGACCCTGAGACACACAATTGCAGACACCGAATGGTGCAGGCTCTTCCTAACAGAGCAGGTCCAGTACTCCAGTGCCATTGTCCCATTCCCCATTCTTTCAGACACTATTAGAGGCAGCATCCTGGGCTTTTCCTTTGGTCCCTGCACTCTGCAATCCAGTAAAGCACTGTGCTTCCAAGACACTCYAGCACTCAAATGAGAGCCACATAAATAAATCAGGTACTCTGTTTCTCTCAACACTGTCTCTCACAGTGACTCAGAAATGCATAGTTTGGCTGATGGTTTGTCTGTGTTTTGCAGACATGACTGTGATTTCCAAAGAACTAATGCCCTGACTCACTTGGAGGACATCTAGAAATCTTGGGCAAATAAGCAGAGACCTCCAATTTTATGTGGATATCATTTCCCAGCAGAAGGGGAAGAACAGACTATGGAAACTGGGAATCAGTGGGATCTACTGTGTCCTGCACTAGCTGCTTTGACTGTCACTTTGCTTCAGTTAACAYAGAGGTGACTTTTCCTCTTCTGGTTTTTCATAGTCTTTAAATGTAAATAACAAAAAAAAATTCTCTCCATTGTCATATTGGAGCATATCTGAGATCCAGTGCACCTTTCAGAGTGGCCTGTGTTTCGAGAGCAGCTGTTTGGGTGTTGAAGGTARATGCATCTTAGAGGTGTTTGAGTACCAGTCTGGAAAGGCTTGGAGTCTTCTTGTTTGGCTTTTCCTTTGTTGTACTACATTACAGGTACTATTTGGGTTTTCTCTCCATTTCTAATTTTGGAATGTGGCACAGAATTAGGAAGTTTAGTCAGATGTGGCAGCCACAAGGCCCATAGGGAGCAGAGGCAGTGTKCTGTGCTGCTCAGGGTTAGCAGCAGGGACCCCAGGTGACCTCCCTGCTGTCAGCACACGCTGCAGGAGATACCAAAGTTCATGGGAGAAGGTTCAGGTATGTGAAACAATGGGTGTGATCTGAAGGCTTCTCTGCTGGTTTTAGAGGTAAAGAAAAACAGTTTCATACTTGGCTTGTTTTTCTTTGATTAACAGGTAATCTCACATGGGGAGACTGCAGGGGAAATTCTGCCCTAAGATCAGCAGTGAGGGTTATTGGTAAAGTACCTGGCTGCTGGTCTGACTGTGATTACAGATGAGAGGTTTTTTATGGAGTGTTCTGCTTTTCTTTCATCTGATCTCAGTGGTTGTCTAGCAAATCTGTGAAGTTAGTCCAGGAAAAAAGAAATGTTGCCGTAAGGTCTAATTTCGGTCTTTTCAATACAAAATTATTGTATTTATTTTTTAAATGATCATTCAGTTTTTAAATTTTGTTATTTTTCATTTCTTGTAAAATGAAAAAAACATGATTCTCTTCTGAATAAAAGATGACATTTTGTTTGATCTGGATTTTTGTGTCTGGGGGTGTTTTCACTTGGATAAGGTCACTTGGATAATATCCACTGTGAGGTAAGAGTTCTCCAGGCTGCCCAGTGGGGACAGGACACAAAGCATGCGTGTGCAGGTACCTGCCTGTTCGTTCACTCTGCTCTGCACATTAATGAAGATATCTTTGTTTACAGTACGGTGACTTAGGTGCATGGCTTTGTCCTTGCTGCTTACCCACCCAAACACACCTCAAAGTACAGCACAAGTGACTATAAATAGTTTGGGATCCTTTGAGGCAAAATGCAGGTGCAGCGTAACCACATCGTTAGGTCCAAGTTTCACGGATGACAGCAGGTCCTATTGAAATCTGYAGTTGGTTTTCTAAAGCCAGGAGCACACCCTGAAGTCACTAACTGGTGTTTCCCTGCTGATCTCCACAGGGCAGAGTTGGGCCCATGCTGAAGACTTCTGAGAATGCTGCTCTGCAGTTGTGGATCTGGTCCTGTCACCTCCTGTGCACTCACTGATGTCTCACCACTGGAAGAGACAGCAAGATCTGGCAGCTCTGCTCACCTTCAGTGTAAGTGCTTAACAGATACTCATTGAGAACTAAATAGACAGTATAACTACAGCAGAGAGCAGTGCCCTTACTAACACATACTGTCAACATGTCATGAAGTTTCTGGTTCTCTGTTGGAGAGGCAGGAAAGTACAGGTAGATAGCTGCACTCATGTTCGGGTTTACCTGGGCACGTTGCACCTTACTGAGTCCTGATGTTTGTTTGTTCTTTGTTTCCCATGTGATTTTGTCTGTGTGCAAATCCCTGGAGGTTTTAAGATGTACTTCAAAAATGTGGTGAGTGAGAGGAGCAGGCCCTGCTAGAAGGGCAGAAGTTTGTCATGGGCTCTTGGTTTCAGCAGGAGACAGTGAGGAACTGCCATGAGCCTGGGTGTGGAGGAAATATGTCAAGATTGTGAGCCAGGGCTGAGTGCCACTGAAAAACAGGGAAAGCAGGAGTAGGGTTGGTAGGGTCTTGGTGAAGCCACCTGACAAGTACACCTGAGTAGAGCAATAATGAGCACTGTAAGGCCAGCCCACAGWAAAGGAGTATGGTATTGGAGAGATGGAGCCTGCAGAAATGGGCAGTTAGGAATGATACCTCTGCTGCCGGTGCAAGGCACCTCCTGTGCAACCAGAATTGGGATTTTGTGCTGGCTTAAACTTGCAAAGTGGAACAAGAAGGTGTTTTGTGCACCAGCAAGCTCCACCTGTATATGSCAGAACATTCAGTTTATGCTGGACTAACCTGAATGTGTCAGTGTTGCTGAGGTGCTGCCTGACCTTCCTCTGCTCTAAGGGTTGAACTGTCCAGCTAGGCTGTTAACAATGCTGCAGCCACKCAGCTATGAGTGGTCTGAATGTCCTGCAAGGAGATCAAAGGCTCTGTGTCAGCCCAGCTACAGGTTGAAGTAAGGCCTTGGTCCTGGTCAGGCAAAACCATTTGATGRGGCTCAGACTAATCCCAAACAAATATTTCTGGGAACATTAGCATACTGTGAGGCAGGGAAGGAGTTGTTTGACTTCCTTTTCTGCTCTCCCTCCCTTGTCTRTTTGCAGGAGAAGGTCTTACTCAGAAGAAAGGAATGAGGAAAAGTGTAAGACATGATCTCCTGATATAAATGGCAAGGCCCATCCTATAGAAAGCCTCATGCTTTTCCATCAGTGAGGTTGATAGGTCTTGGAAGAATAAGAAGAGTTAATAATTGTGGCTGGGGCTAGGCAAAGAATGAGCTGTGGAACCCCCAGCCCCTTTCCACATGCATAGGAAGAACCCAAAACTTTTATTAAGTTATTCAAAAGTGTGGTGAAGTAAGAGGCCGTTCAGAGTGTGGGTGATGGAACAGGCAGGCCCGCTGTGGAATCCTGTTTTAATGCAGGTCTGTGTACAGGAATTTGGCCTCCCTGGGACCTACCTGAGCTGTGCAGGTGCACATCGCTGAGTTACACACACCTAACATGTGGTTTTTGTTGCTGTTTTACTTCCCCAAACCCCAGTAGATTCTGCATTGGCCAAGTGCTCTGCAGTTGGCCAGGTTTTGGGTWGTTTTCTCAATCTGAAATCTGTCTGCAAGGGGGATGCATGCAGTAGCCTCTCTGTATCTCAGGATGCTTACATGCACTCTYCCCCACATGTCTGCAGACATGACTTGGCTGCCTCATAGGCTGAACCTGTCAATGGAAAGGCCCTGTGTGCCYCAAACAACCTGGACATTCTTCTGCCTTGCCATGGTTCTGCTCTTGTGCCAAGATGCTGGGCCTTGCTTGCTGAGAGAGAGCAGGGAGGTGTGTGGGGACTGGCTGGCCTCAGCCCTCCWGAACAGCCCCCAGGAGCTGTTGCTAACTCAGTGAACAAAGTCAGGAACAGTCCCTTGGTTCCTTTATCCTGTCTTTACTGAGATATTTCAGGCATGCATGATATAATGACAGTGTACTGTGGCCCAGAGGTGTGGTGGAAAATCTGGTTAAGCACGCTGGCTGAGCTGCTCTGTGGATTCTCAGCTGGGACATGCTGTAAAGCACAGCTCAGCACTGTTAACACAGGAAAGACAGGAGCTGCTCTTCTCTCACTTCAGCCTGAAGAAAACACTYTTTTCCATTTTGATTTTTTTCCATGAGCTCTTGTATCACTATATAAGTGCTTGCCTGTGTATTTGTATTTCTAGCTGTTAGGTGCTATCTCATATCTTTACCTGTGATCATCTCWTGAAGGCCCATTTATGCAGATCCACTTGTCTCCTTCAGAGGCAGCTTTTGGAGGCAAGTCACTCTCTCTCAGTTGCACTGCCTCTCTAGACTCAGACTGCTGTGTTTCACTTACCCCAASCAGACACACTCCAGTTCAAGTCAAGTCAATATTAAGCCAGGAAAARTATGAGAGTGCAGAGAGGCATTGGTAATGCACCTGGTGGGCAGCACGGATGCTGTTACTCACAGAGGCTGGAGTGAGAAACAGGAGTAGATACCCTTTGCTACCAGGTGCTGATTTCATATCCATATCCTTAGACCTGCCCTTTTTGCTCTCTTGCCCAGAAGATTGTCTCCCCCTCTGCAAACACACCTAAGTGCTGGCACAGGGGAAAATGGTCCACATCAGCTTCCCTTACTACGGGATCTTTCCTTCAATAGGCCTTAATATTTCTTCATCTTCTTGAGCACTCAGGTATCTTCCCACCTGGGCACTGGGAGATGTCCATTGCAAATGTGTTCATATCCTTTTTTCTGTCATGTCTTTACTTAAGCCATCAGAGTGAAGACGTGCCTGAGTGACAGGTAATGGAAATACAATACCTAAGCCAGCAAATGAGGCTTAGAGGAGGACACATGGCCCCACTTGCTGTAATTCTGAATGTACACAGGTTGATCTGTGTTAGGACAGCATTGTGTTATTTACAGATGGCCAGAYGCAGGAACTTTTCTGTTGAATGCTGAATTTTGTGTCACAGAATGGTTTGGGTTCCCACAGGAAGGGACCTTGAAAGCCATCCAGTTCCARCCCTCTGCCRTGGACAGGGACACTCCCTCTTGTCCTGTCACTTCACRCTCTCATCCAAAGTCTCTTTTCTTCTCTCTTGGAGCCCTCTTAGGGGCTGGAAGGAGCTGCAAAGTCTCCCTGCAGACTTAAATCCTGTATCACTAAGAGCAATATTTATTAAAATCAATAATTGAATTATTACAGCCTCAACAACATGAATTATACTTATGCATGGCATACCAGTRTCATATTTACATACAAATGAATTTACGTTGTTTGTATTGTGTTGCTATTTACTGTGAGCAGTGGTAATTACTGGGCTGGGCAGAAGCTGTGTGGGTCATTTTGAGCYTGGATTCTGGAGGAGGTGAGCCTGCACGAGTGCCTTATCTGTCTCATCATTTATCAGTCTCCTCTTAATAACTTTTGAAGGCATTAACTAATTTCATCCACATTTGACACAGGGGTAGAGGTTTTTGTGGTGGGGAGATTAAGGGACAAAGGACAGAGGTACTTGGTGAACTAGAACTCATTAATTCCACTGCTCAAATAACAGCTTGTTGGGAATTAACCTCGGGAAATGCTCTTTCACAGGGCCTAAACCCTCCTGCAATTATATGGTGATTATTACAATGTTTTACTGAAATCCTGCGAATCATTGTGTTTCAGCTTGCTGGACAGGGATGTTTGTGTTTACCTTCCAAAACATGTTTTCACTTACATATTGGTTAAATTTTGAGAAGCCAAATCAGATCAAAATTCCTGAGCTGCTTCCGAGGGGAGACACTTTATTATGAGAGTTGTGCCCAGAGGTGTTAGGGGAGGAAGATTAGGAAGGACTTCTAGTCTGGTCTTTARGATAGTGCAAATAAAAGGTTTGTTTTTATGGAGCAAGGCTTCCACTAGCTTGCAGCTCCACAAGGAGCTTCACACCACATTGCAGAGCAGTTCCTCATCTCAGGACCATGCAGCTGTCCGTGACCATTACCATGATAGCAGGCAATCAGCTCTTTAAACCTTTTCCCTTTCTGCAGCACTATCAATTCCCAAATAAATGTGCCAACAGTGTGACAGGCATGAAGTGGAAACTGAACAGAAGTAATGGCAAGTACTTGCTTTTGAATGCCAGAATCACACATTTGGAGTCATTTCATGAGGTTTTTATGTGAAGTCCAGTTAKTCCTTGTGACTGCACAAATTTCTGGTGTGTATCTGCAGGGGATAAGGCAGGGATGTGTCAGATAAATAAGATACTTTTGACAGAATAACTGYAGTGAAAAAGTTCTCTCACCTCTTTCAAAAACAATTTTCCAAGAAAACTTTTGTGTACCCAATAGGGCCAAATTGGTTTGTTGGAAGACTCATTATAGTTCCACTGAGTAGTTCAAGTTGATTTTGTTCTTTCAAATTCAAAACATAAACTCACTTCGCACTTTTTCTTTATTGCTGAGTGTCTTTGTCTCAATTTCCAGTTTAACTGGAAGTGTTCCTAGATGAAAATAGAGAAGACCAGAAAAGATTAAAAACAGAACCAAATTACATAAATAGAGGAAAGCAAAAGGGGGGAAGACAATAGTTTTTAAAAAAAGTTTTTCTCTCCATGAAAGTATTTCAATTAAGTGCTTTTCCCCAACACTAATGTGTTCCCCATGACATGAGGCAGAAAGAAGGAAGACGCATTTTATAGGTAAAATGATGTAAAATAGTTATTATTTATTATCTTGCTGCTGCTATTTTTGTGAGCTTCTCAAAGATGATATTTGAATGGGGAACTCTAAATGAAATGCTCCCAGAGCTGAGCCTTTACCTTGTACTTCTCATCTGCCTAAATCCAAGGAGTGTGAAGTCTGTTATTTGACATTACCTGGAAGGCAAATTTTAATGCCACATTTTAAATAAAAGGCTGTGATTTATAGTTCCTCCTTTTCATTAGAAGCAGGGAATGTGCAAATCAAACAGAACTTCCTGTTTCCAATCTTCCAGAAGTGCATGTTTCACTTTGTGTTCCTCTCCCATTGCAAAAGCAGGGGGAAAAACGCACTTGAAA